TCAGTAGTTTAGCCATGTAATGAAAACTATAAAAAAAATGCGCACTTACGAAATAATTGACAAAACAACCAGTTAAAACGTTTATTAACTGTGGCGTTCGAGATACAACTGATTAAACATCAAAACAATGAAATAGTGTAAAGTGTGTGTGACCAGAGGGCGCCACTCCATTGATTAGCAAAGGGAGTCACAATTTGGTCTAGGGCACGCAAAATAGAGACGCAATTGTAGCGTACTACACACTGATTGAATTCCCGCCACGTCTTAAAGAGTAGCGCCTTATTATAGCAGGCAATCTGCGCACTATCGGCATAGATGAAGTATGTTTAAACCGCCACACACAAAATAGAATTGCAGCCAAGTTATGACTAGTTTTGTTGTGACAACCGAATGTGTGTTGCCACAACAAAAACGTTCGCCGGAATTGAGTTTTATGCACACACAAGCTGCCACAATCAATACCATGCGAACACACACACACACACACACACACACACACACACACACACACACACACACACACACACACACACACACACACACACACACACACACACACACACACACACACACACACACACACACACACACACACACACACACACACACACACACACACACACACACACACACACACACACACACACACACACACACACACACACACACACACACACACACACACACACACACACACACACACACACACACACACACACACACACACACACACACACACACACACACACACACACACACACACACACACACACACACACACACACACACACACACACACACACACACACACACACACACACACACACACACACACACACACACACACACACACACACACACACACACACACACACACACACACACACACACACACACACACACACACACACACACACACACACACACACACACACACACACACACAAACACACACACACACCACACACAAACACACACACACCACACACAAACACACACACACACACAAACACAAACACACACACACAAACACACACACACACACAAACACACACACACACACACGCGCGCGCGCGCGCAGACATCATCGCGAAAATAGTCAAAACGGATTCAGGGGACCTCAAAACGTAAAAATCCGTCGAAAACTCGAGGTCGAACAAAATCGTGATTCCTATACTTTCCTTATATCTGTATACAGACAGGAAAGTAAAAATGCGCAATAACTACCTCTTAAAGCCCACCGAAGCATTTTTAGACATACGTTTATATAGCAAATTGTCATTAGTTTTTCATGCAGAACCACCCCCTGAAGTTTGTCGCACTTATTTACTAACACCCTGTATAAAGGTTTAATTAATCCATTTTTTAGAGAACTAGAAAAAGTGCCTGTACTAAAACATTTATTTACTAAATTAGCTAACAGTAAAGCAATTTCATTAGTTAATTCTTTTAAAATTTCTGACCGAATCCCATCAATTCCTGGTCCTTTTTTATTTTTTAAAGAGTTTATAATTTCCTTAACTTTAATCTCACTGGTTGGGAATAAATACATTGTTTTTTCCATGTGCTGAGTAACTTCAACAAAATTTTGAGAATTGTCAATTTTTCCAGCACATATTTCTCCTATATCACTATAATAGTACATTACATTACGAGTGTGGAAAGTGACATTTTTCACACGAGTGGGAAATATTGTCGCACGAGGCGCAAGCCGAGTGCGACTATCACACGAGTGTGGAAAATCACTTTTCACACAAGTGATGTACAATATTTTTCCTACGACCACAAAATAATGTCATCAAAAAAATGTAAAACCAAGGTTATTATTACTATAATAATTAAAATGTATTTAAAAAAAATAATCAACAATAATCGTATTTATTCAATTTTCATATTTTCTAAACAAAAAAATCTGATGTGTCCAACACATGACTTTCCTATCTAGGTATTACAGGCTTTTTCCGGTTATTTTGTACAACCTATTGCAGCATCTCTATAAATGTTTAGAGGATAAACTAAATATATACATTGTCCACATACATCTACCGCGAAACATTTTTCTATAGATATTCATTGAAAATGAAAATACTGAAAAATTTAAATTTAGCACTTTTCCTACAATTTTTTCATTACGGTCCATTTTAAAAAAATCATGTATAAACAAATATTATAGAGATCGATATCGCAAACAACTTTTATTTCAACAATTTTCATAAAAATCAGAATTTTGCACATTTTGTCAAATTTTTCGAATACGGACCATTTCAGGAAATTTTTACATAAAGCAAAAATTATAGATAATAATATTAGAAGTAACTTTTATTTGAACAATTTTTTTCTTCAAACATAAATAACAGATATATTCCATAAAATATAAAAACGGCCTCCCATAAAGTACCCCCCCAGATGTTCCGACTTTGTCCAAAATCTAATAATTTCACGTCAGGCCTAAATAAAACTTAAGTTTAAAATTTAATGTTTTTTTCTTTATCCATTTTTGAGTTTTCTTCAAATTTCGAAATTTACACATTTTCTCAAATATCTCGAATACGGTCCATTTTAGAGAAATTATCAATAGGATAAAAATTATAGAGAATTATATTACAAACAACTTTTGTTTGAACAATTTTTATAAAAAAAAATATTTTTTTACATTTTATCAAATTTCGCGAATACGGACCATTTTAGGAAAATTTTGTATATAACAAAAATTATAGAAAATAAAATAAGAAGTAACTTTTATTTGAAGAATTTTCTTCCCCAAACGTAAATAACAGATATATTCCATAAAATATAAAAATGACCACCTATAAAGTACCCCCCCAGATGTTCCGACTCTGCCCAAAATCTAATCAGTTCATTAGACGTTGGAACAAAGCTTAAGTTTGAAATTTGGTGTTTTTCCGTGTATCGGTTCATGAGTTATGCGTTATACAGACACACACACACACACACACACACACACACACAGACACACACACAGACACACACACACACAGACATCATCGCGAAAATAGTCAAAACGGATTCAGGGGACCTCAAAACGTAAAAATCCGTCGAAAACTCGAGGTCGAAAAAAATCATGATTCCTATACTTTCCTTATATCTGTATACAGATAGGAAAGTAAAAAACTAAAAAAAAAATAAAAAAAAACAAAAAAAAAATTCTGCCCCGACAGGATTTGAACCATAGATTGAACGCGGTCGAAAAATGGCAAAGTTGATAAGTTCGACGTCCTAACCAGCTGAGCTAACAGCCCTTGTGTCAATTGAATGATCTAATCGGTTATGTATTTAACAAAAATAAAGAGCAAACATTATTTTAAAATTATTTTAATAATAATTGTTAAAGACAAATATCTAGGATCTAATTTAAAACAATTTCAATAATTTAACAATCATATCGATTTTAGTATTAATATGGATATAACATAGATAAAAATAGAAATTAGCTTACAAAATAATATCAAAAAATGTAAAACCAAGGTTATTACTATATTAATTAAAATGTATTTAAAAAAATAATCAACAATAATCGTATTTATTCAATTTTCATATTTTCTAAATAAAAAAAAACTAATAAAAAATAAAAAAAAAAAACAAAAATAATTCTGCTCCGCCAGGATTTGAACCATAGATTGAACGCGGTCGAAAAATGGCAAAGTTGATAAGTTCGACGTCCAAAACAACTGAGCTAATGGGCCTTACGTCAATTGAATGATCTAATCGGTTATGTATTTACCCAAATTAAAGAGCAAACATAATCTTAGTTATTTTAAAATTATTTTAATAATAATTGTTAAAGACAAATATCTAGGATCTAATTTAAAACAATTTCAATAATTTAACAATCATATCGATTTTAGTATTAATATGGACATTACATAGATCAAAATAGAAATTAGGTGTTTGACATTTTTTGACAACTACTGCGGAAAGTAACATATTCTCACTTGGGTGGAAAGTAAATTCTTAGTCATACGCGTGTGATATAGGACACTTTCCATAGGACTATATAGTGTGATATGTGTCACTTTCCTAAGTGGTCGTAGGAAATAGTGTATTACATTACGAGTGTGGAAAGTGACATTTTTCACACGAGTGGGAAATATAGTCGCACGAGGCGCAAGCCGAGTGCGACTATCACACGAGTGTGGAAAATCACTTTTCACACAAGTGATGTACAATATTTTTCCTACGACCACAAAATAATGTCATCAAAAAAATGTAAAACCAAGGTTATTATTACTATAATAATTAAAATGTATTTAAAAAAATAATCAACAATAATCGTATTTTTTACAACTACCTCAATTTTTTACAAAATGAATTACAAGGCCTGCTAGAGGATGTTCCTGTAAATATTAGAATGCAGATGTACTATCAGCACGATGGAGCTCCTGCACATGTCGCTCGTCAGGTCAATCAACATTTGGACGAATGTTTTCCAGGGCATTGGATTGGTCGTGGAGGTCCTATTAATTGGCATGCAAGATCTCCAGACCTCACACCATTAGATTTTTGTTTATGGGGCTGGATGAAAAATGAAGTCTACAAAATAAAAGTGGACACACGGGATGCACTAATTAGATGAATTAAGAATATTGCAGCCCATATTAAAGAAGAAAGAAATGAATCAATTAGGAGAGCAACAAACGCTCTTCGTAGACGAAGCAGAAAATGTTTAGAAGTCAATGGCGGTATTTTTGAACATTTATTGAAAGAACGCTATGATTAAGAGAATTTTTATGTTTAAATTTGTTTATTTGTTAATATGCTATAACTTGAAAACAAATGAAAATCGGATAAGAACATATGAGTTTTTTTACATTATTTTCACGTGTATAATATACTCCTAGAGTTTGATGCGCTCCTCCCGACTCACCCTGTTTATCTAGTATCTAGTATATACCGTTAGTTTTAAACAAATATAGTTTAAACAATATAGTTTTATACCAATTCTAAAATAAAATAACAAGAAGAACTTTTTAAAAAAATTCCATTGTATATTGATATGCCGTCAGTTGAAAAGTAGGTGAATAGTTTTCAAAAAATATACCTACAGAAATTTATAGAGAAAAAACTACGAGGGTTTCCAATATTTATGGTATCCACACAAAATTAGTTTAATAAACTACCTAATTTTATTAAATAAAATCTCAAATAACATTTTAACTCCATCATAAACAATAAAAATCTTGAGTTTGTCGAATAATGCCTTCAGGTCCATCGGAATATTCGCAAATTCCCAATTTTTTGAACAATAAGCAATTTGTTTTGGGATTGCCCCACTTTCCTCTAAAGCTCATCCAATAAGGCAATGGGTCCAACCCTAGATGGTAGATTTTGACGTTATTCCAAGTCTTCCATGGGACTCCGTAGCTAAAAGCAAAATCCAAATGAAATTGAGAACGTTTTATTTCAAAATTCATATACAATGTGTCCCAAGATTGCTGGGACATAGAGCTACCACGTATTGAAAAGATCAAAATAAGTCTATTGGACACAATAATTTATACAGGGTGTCCAGAAATGCTCTTCAAAGAATGAAACCACGAAATCTAGAGTTGATTTTATGATGATTTGGTCTAAATTACCCTTATCCAAAAATGCTTCCTAAGGGAGCTAGAGCTCTTTGAAGATAGCGCTCTAAAATCAGTTTAATTGAAATACCTTCAAAACGGATTTTTATTAAATAATATTATTCTGTACATTTATTTATTTGAATCTAACCAATCAAATTTCGTGAATAATATTTTTTAATATATTCATAAGCGGCTCGTTTGGGTGGGGTATTGGATATTTTTATTAAATTTTTTATTCTTTCGAAAAGACGCCATTTTGAAATGAAATTTAAAAAATTTTACAATTTTCATACAAAAATGGTGCTCTTATCTGAAGTCTCCATAAGCAACTGTTTTCGAGAAAAATCGACTTAAACTTTTCATGTCTTTTCATATGTTTCCATTGATTAACAAATAAATTTCAAAATTATGATAAGGTGGCCATGGAAAATATTCAAAATACCTAAGAATTGTTTAAATACATATTAAACTGTTTTCACCCAAACTTTAGGTAGGTACTCAAAAAAATGTTTTCAATTAATGACTGTGCTTTTATGAAGTAAAAAAAATAATTCATATAAAAATTAAAGTTTCTGTTGATACAATTTGTTTAAAAAAAAATAAAGAAATGATAACTGAAAGTATTAGGCATAAAATTAAATCTAAAGCAGATGTTCTACATGACGGCCACCACTATTCATCGTCTGAATATAATCAGTCCATATCTACAGGAACTTCGTCATCCTCTTCTTCACTTTCCTTTAGTAACTGTACTTCTAGCTTCTTCACTGATGTTTTGTTTCTACCTCTTCCAATAGCCTGCTTACTAGTTAAACTGTTTTTTTTTCTTTATTTTTCCGTTGCCTTTTCCTTCATACTGAATACTATTATAAAACTCGTGGTATATTGGGGAAATAAAATCTAGTAAGTAATGTAAGTTCTTCATTTCTCAGATTAAACTCGGTATTAAATATATATCTGTAATAAGACTCCTTCACAGGGGTAGCAATATTCCTTGTACAAACTAAACATTTTTTATATTCAGCTCTGGTGAGAGATATCGAGTATTTAAATCAGATTTTCTAGAGTAGTGGGATGTGTACTTAGAAAACATTCGGATGTGTTCCGTAACTAATTTTCGACGTGTACGATCCATTTTCTTATCAGGTCCGGTACCTCTCTGGTCCTTGCCGCATATACCAATAGCATCTGTCTTTAAACAAACCGCGGTGAACCTTTTGTTGCTTATGTCAAGTGTTTTGAGAAAAAAAATCTTACTCGCTTATTAAGGAGATATATTTCTGTATTAAACTGTTTGTTAGTAGTTGCGTTATTTCTATTGCTTTGAACGCCTTTTTTCCTTATGCACGAAGAAACAAAAGAATGTTGTAGATCGTAGTCAGCCAAAGAATAAAACCTTTGAAATATTTATCGCCTTTCTTCTTTGGAAATACTTTGGCTACACTTGTATCTGCAAGAATGTTTATAAGATTTAAAACTACGCTAGGAATGTGGCTTATTTTTATGGCCACTATATGCTTTTCCTGAATTTCTTAGCAGCTTCTTTCTGTTGATTTTCCAGGCAGTCTCATTGCGCTTTCTCTTTTGGGTATTTAATTTTTTTCCTGCAGCAGAATCATTAGGTCCATCCACATCATCACTGGACTTATGACTGTCAAGATCAGAAAGTACGCTGGTATCTGAAAATTCGAAACTTTTTTTACTTTTTTCTTATAGACTAAATGAAATAAATATGAGCAAAATTTAAATATTTTAAGGAAAAATTATTACTCACCTGGCAGTCCTGACACCTTGGTGTTTATTTCTGTAGGTCCAATTACATCATCATTAAAAGTACCACTTTCAGGAATGTAATCACTTTCTTCATCGGTGGCATATGGATTGGAAAATTTTGATTTCCCCCAATTTTATTAAATAATTTGCCTTTAAAGTAAGTATTTGTCATTTTGAACAAAATAAACTAATAAAGTGACAAGTGTTCGAAAAAGCCGCGATTTGAAAGTACCTTTTATTAGTTTGTACACAAACCTAACCTGAAATTTTGCTTACCTTCTGGAATTTTGCTTTCTATGCTTTTCACGTGTAATTTAGAAAAAGATTAGTGAATATTTATGCACTTCAAGACTAACTTGAGTAAATACAGTATAGTAACGATAGGTAACCAGAAAATCAACACTTAAACAGCACAAAGACCGAGCTCCAAAAACTTGCTAGTTTAATAATAGAAAGAAATGGTACAAATGCACTTGCATCCGTTTTATCGTAAACAAATTTCTGCTTTCAGATACATAATATTTCTACTCGCTAATAGATGGCGCACAAAGCATGAAAATCACTTGTATCTCTTTTATACAAATACGAACTTAAGGTAGTCATCTATGCACTTATCTCAGATTTGTTTAACAGTTTACTTATACCCCTTTTATTCTAAGCACCTCAATGATTAAACTTGTACTAAGAATAGCAGTTATCAGTGTTTTAGAAAACATTTCTTTCCTTCGAAACTACGAAATACTGTGTTTTTACAAAATTCAAAAAGTCTTAAAACCGTGTTATCACCCCTAAGAAAATAAGGAGGTAACGTTGGTTAAAACCTTTCTACAATTTCCTTTGGGCTTCTTTGATTAATAAAAGTAGAGTAATCCTCTAAAATGTACGTTTGCCAAATTTCATTAAATTTATTTCAAGTATTTCTTAACATGTTAAAATGTTATTTTTTTATGTAAACTTTGATCTCTTCTCACGGACACACGTTACATTTTAGTATATGTAGTGTGTCTATGGAAGGACCTAACTATAATTGTAAAAAAATTATTTTTTTTTTTTCAAAAACAATCATTTTTCATAATTTATTTTTCTTGTTAAATAAATACGATTCAAGTTAAGAAACTTCGACAGAGTGCGCAAAAAATACAACAATAATTCTGTATTCGCATACCTAATTAAAAATATTTAAGTTCAATTTTTTGAAGCACTTTAATATTAAAACTTCATTTTGCTTTTCGATTTCTCCATACAAGCTCTTTTATTTGAGCGGTTGTATTACTTTTTTTTTTTTTAATTTTGCAAATCCTCATTTTTTTATTGCACACTCTGTACAACAAAATCGAAGGCATTCAACGTATATCGTATTTATTTAACAATCAAAATAAATTATGAACAATTATTTTTGTTTAATTTAAAATAAATATTTTTACAATCATAGTCAATCTGTGGTATATAAATTGAGTCCCATTGACTTATTTTGACCTATACAATACGTAAGACAGCAATTTTGGAACACCCTGTATATAAAATTTATTATTATATTTAATTCCAATAACTAAAAAATATACTGACAATTAGTTTGAGAGAATTGTCACTTATTTGAATTTTTAAAGATAATAGTAGTTGGGTAACCAAAATATGAACTGTGATTTGTGGATTTAATGTTTTTCTACACCCACATGGGTATTAGCTAATCTACGCACAGACTACAAAACTAAAAAGTATGCTATTACTTTTAACTAAAAAAATATAGTTTATATCCATTCTAGGTAGTGAGAACAATGCGAAAAAATGAAATCCATTAATCACAGTTTATGTTTTGATCAACCAAGTCTTATTATTTTTAGAATTTTATATAAGTGACAATTCTGTCAAACTAATTTTCAGTATATTTTTTTAGTTATTGAGATTAAACATACATTAAAATGAATTATTCTTGTGTAGAATCGATTTATATTTTTATTTGGTCTATAATTATAAATAATTTGTTAATTTAAATAAAACTCAAAAGTCAATTTAATTACGAGTAATAAAGCAACAAAAATAAACGCGTAGATGGTCCTGTGGTCAGCGTTCTTACCTTTCATATGGAAGACTCGAGTTCGAATCTCAGATGGAGAAAAATTAAGTGAATTTTTTTTGTTTATTTAATTTTTTAAATTAGTAAAAGTCATAAATTATTTTTAAAAAAATATTAATAACCTAAAATAATTTTTAATATTTGTAGATTTTCGTTAATGGGTCGTAGGAAAAATATACTGTACAACTCGAGTGGATTGTCCGTATCATACTCAGATTTTCGTCTTCGTGTGATATGGCCATCATATCCACTCTTGTTACATTAACTACTATTTTGCAATGTTCTCACTACCTAGGATGGATATGAAATATATTCGTTCAGTTAATTGCAATAGCATACTTTTTCGTTTTGTAATATGTGCGTAGATAAACCAATATCCGTATGAGTGTAGAAAAATACATTTTCATATATTGTTCCTCTATTTACCTTTCTTATATATAATTTCATGATTCTATAAAATTTGCATTTGTTACAAAAATTATTATTATTATATCTCCTCAGACTAATTTTTAAATATGGTCCAATTTAAATTTGTCTATTTTTATTTCCTAATTTTTAATATTTTGTTTTATACTTATATTTTTACCCAGTTGTATCTGATAGTTTAGGAACTTTATTGAATTGATTTTCTCCAGGAATAGCCCACATTCCGTGGGAACCGTTTGCAGAGAATATTACAGGGTGGTCGCCTTGATTGTACAGGATCGGTGGAAATTTTGGTATTTGAGCAACAGCCTTTCTTTTTGCTGGATGGTCAAATTGAAAATACCTAAAAATTAAGAATTATTTACATAAGTATATATTTTTTATTTTCCAACAAGAATTGTAAACAAACTATAAATTAACAAAAACAAATTTTAATAATCGAGGTTTTACAACTATTTGCAGGAATTTACTATAAATATCAATAATTTTTTACTAATTTGTTAAATATTCATAAGAATTTTAAAAATTTCCTATAAAGGTAAAATTTCAAAAATAAAACATTCATTAGGTAGAATATTCCAATTTTTTATAAAGGGTTTATAATTCACATGTAAATAAAAATTCAAGAAAAAATGATTTTAAAATAATACTCGTCTTTATTTTATTCACAAAAAAGAGTGTCTTAAAAATGTAATTTTGTAAGATTTACTAACCTATTTTGTTCGTTATAAGTGTAATAGGCACCCGTATCATGCACAGCCAAATAAAGTGATTGTGGGACATTTTTTCCAACAAACGATAGACTCATGTGTTCCCAATCGCCCACATGATTTCCTAACGTTTTCAAACTACCTAAACAAGTGTTAAAAACCTGCAACGTGGGAACACCACCTCAAAAAATAAAATAAGATATTTAGTTAAAATAATAAAAAAATTATTAATTATTAATAATATTAATAATATTAATAATATTAATAATATTAATAATATTAATAATATTAATAATATTAATAATATTAATAATATTAATAATATTAATAATATTAATAATATTAATAATATTAATAATATTAATAATATTAATAATATTAATAATATTAATAATATTAATAATATTAATAATATTAATAATATTAATAATATTAATAAATATTAATAAATATTAATAATATTAATATTATTAATATTATTAATATTATTAATATTAATAAGTTTGTTTTACATAAATAAAAAACTCTTACCGATTACACAAACCTTTTTTCCTTCATTGTACGGATAGAAAATCCAATAACTAACGTGGAAATATAAATTTTCCCCGTTTTCCTCCACGTCATTTTCGGGTGTTTTTGCAGATGTATTGCACTGTGTTACTAAGGCGTAAATTGACACTGAATTTTCGGTGGGATTTTTGCCGTACAGGAAAGAATCTGTTTTATTCAATAGTTTTTCTAAAACAAAAAATAATAAATTCTTATTGGATAGTCAATAATAAATAACAACTTTTACAACGGATAATATTTTTGTTACCTATCGAATCAAATGTGACCAAACTCCAATCTTTTGTTCTAAATTGGGATACGTTTCTATCTAGTTTTGGAAAAACTGGTTTTCCTTTATCATCGGCGACATAAACGTTGTTTAAAAATGTTTCTACATTGGACGGCAAGAATTTTTCACCTCGCGACAGCCGCACTAGAGGTGCCCACTGTCTAACCAAGTCATCAACTACAAATTTAACAAGAAAGGAATTTTAGTGTACATAAATTAAAAATATTAGCAGCCAATATATTTATTGATGATATTAGATTTAATATTCATACAAGCACAAATGTACGGGCCCCAATACAGATCCTTAAAGGATACCCACGTTCAAATTATGTATCAGTGCATCGAAATATCTTTATTTATTGTTATAAGAACAAAATTTATTTTGTTATAACTAAACTGAAGACAGTTCATAATAAACCAAATATGAAGATTGGGCTAGAAGCCAATTACAGTTTTTGTTATTAAGGTGATTGTGATTACAGCACCCCTTATAATTTTCGGACAAGCATATCTCAAAAAGTAATTATTTAAAAAATTAAAATTTTGGGAAAATAAATTAGTCAATAATATCTAGAATATGCATATATTTTAAAGTTTTAATTCCTTCCAGTTTCCAAGAAAAAAAATCAGAGGGCTTTAAAATTTGAAATATCATAATGAAAACAAATGCGTTTCTCAAGAGCACTATTGCCTAATTCGAGAGACGCTAAAATGGTGGTTTCCACCTTATCGAGACTGAGACCAACAAGGGTAAAAAACGAGAAATGATTTAACTTGGAACGAAATACGGAAAGCCGATAGTAGTGTTAGGAGGTTGAATTTTTTGGTTTGTGAAACATTGGCATTACTTAGGTTAAACCATGTGATGATTTTCACGAGCCTTGATTTTTAAAACCATTCTATATCGCCTTTCGATTAGGGTTTAAAAACTTGTTTGAACAATTTATCCAATAATAATTAGCCGTTTTACCTCTTAAGACTGCTCATGTAAAATATTTGGGCTCCTTACTTCGTCTATTTATATCTTATTATTAAAGGACAGAAGGATGAGTATTGCAACTATGTTAAAAGAAATAAATTGGCTTTAAGTTCAGAATTATGTTTAGTACATGACTGATATTTATTTTAAAAACAAAAATGACAGTACCATCACATCATAATATTAGAAAAAATTCATTAAAATAAATTTTTGGAAAATTTTCTTCAAATTGAGAAGTATCAACAATTTCGGAATTTATACACATATCTATAGCGATTAATACACCTCCTTTAAGCGTGATATCTAGCTGATCAAGTTTTCAATCTCTGCAAAAAACTTTATAGTTATCGGGAAAGAGTTTACATGATTTAACATCAGGCTTCAGCCATGTTTCGCTAAGAGCAATAACATTTTATTCACAATCAGTCACATTCGAAGAAAAAGTATCTATCTTGCTATTCCGGCCTCTGACGTTTTGGTAGTAAGTAGAAATTTGGTTTATCGTACTGTTGGGATTATTCAGTTTAACGAAACAACTCTTGGTATGCCATTAAAATATTTTATTTCAATTTGTTTCACCAGAATTAACTTTGTTAGTCAATTCTTCTTTTATTGTTTTGTAATATTCAATTTGTCTTTTTGTACGATCCTCTGAAATGCTTATATGCTTAGTTTTCAGTCGTTTGGAATTCCTTAAAACTTTCCTAGCTACATTATCATTTTCAAGAATTACCTTAATAGGACGATTTCTGGAATTAGAAAAAGAACCCAATCGAAATGGTTTAATGTTAGTATCTGCCAGTTCAGGATCAATGGTATTTAGAATGTCTATTATAACATTTGTATCGCATTCAATTTGTGCTGCTGAGGATTTATGTTGATCAGGCTCCGGAACATTGAAGTTCATAATATTGTTTCGGCATTTCTGTCGTTCAGACATTTCATACATTACAACTTCAAAATCAAACTCAGATGACTTCGTATGCTGGTTTTTCTCATCTTTTAATGCCTTAATTTCTTGTTGCAGTTGTATAATGAGAGATTTTAAATCTTTCAGATCTTTCCCAATACCTCTACAACCGATACAGGTCCAATCACAGCCTTTGTTCATATTTAAGGTTTGTACTTCATCGGCAGTAATATCAACACATGTATGTTAAATTTGTCTTTACACACACTGCATGTAACCATTAAATGACCATCAGAAACTTGATTACAACATATACAAGCGACACTAGCAGGCATTTTAATATTTAAAATAAAATAATTAGGAAAACCAAATAATTATTGATACGCCTCTGGTTAGTTCTCGAGCAAGGTGAGTTGAATATTTGTTGTTTTTGTAAAAATTTGTGGTAAGTAAGGAACACTGTAAATAAGGACTTTAAAACCAAGACAGGATTTAAAAAACTGTATTGAATAAAATATAATGTCTTTATTCAACAAAGGCTAGACAAAATCGATTTAATTATTCTAGAAAATACGTGTAATTAGTCATACGTCAAAACGGTAATTTTGTTGGACGGGTCAGGGTGCATTATCCAAACAAACTTTGTTCGTATGTAGTTTTGCATATGCCGTTTTGTAATTGACTTTGAAAGGTGAAGATAAACGCATTTAAGCTGTAAATACTTATATAAACAGGAATTTGAATTGTTTTATATTATTAGAAATATCAGAAAAATAATTGGTAAGTAAAATGTTATTTTTATGGCTATAAAATTTTTTTTACCTAACCTAACATTTTTAATAAAATTAATGCATTTTAATAGTTTATTTTGCTGTTATTTTATACATAATATATTTTTACATGTACCTATAGAAAGCATGGTAATGAATTGGACTACTGAATGTAAACATTACAATAAAAAAAAAACTTGTAGGTTTTTAAATACCCAAAATTCGAGAGATGCTAAAATGGTGGTTCCCACCTTATCGAGACTGAGGTCCACAAGGGTAAACTCGTAGCGTAACAAAAACGAGAAATAATTTAACTTGGAACGAAATATCGAAAGCCGATAGTAATATTAATAATAATAATAATACTCTCCCTAATTCACCCCCTTACGAGTGAATTTCAACCCCTGAAGTCGACTGAACGACTTGTGTAGAAAGAGCCTCAGTAATATAGTCCCAAAATTTAAGCTCTTAATGTCTTGTTAATGATTTATTAAAATTTGCCAAAATTAGTAGCTGAAAACGCCTCGTTTAGCGCCATCTTCTGATGTAAACTGGTGTAAATCGTTGCAAGAAACGATGACTGAGTGTGTACGATACAATAGTTACACCAGATAGCAGAACTTAACGAGGTGTTTTAGCAACTAATTTTAGCGAATTTTAAAAAATCATTAACAAGAGATTAGTAGCCTAAATTTAGGGATTATATTAAGAATAGTGATGTTGAGGAATGCATTTATTCACAGGGTAACAAAAAATTTTGTTTCTAGTGCCTGGGATTTTAGAGCTGATTTTAACTATATTTGGGACGCTAAATCTGTTTTTCTCTATCGGCTCTACTTTTTTAGATACATCAACTTATCTACCAATGTGGGTTTTATTCAGTGTATTCATTTATGAGAGTTCTGAAAGTATTATATATTCATTAATGGTTTCATTATCAGTCTGTAATTGAGTAAATTCCAGGTAAATCTATAAATAGTGGAACCATTGCCTATCAGGTACCTGAACTGACCCTTTGAATCCCCTAACTCGGGAGGGTCTCGTCAGTTTGTACGTTCTTACTAATGAGAGTAGATCGAATTCGGCATGTTATTTTATGTTAAGAAAAGAGTGTTTTTGTGTTATTGAACAGAATTAAAATGAGTTCAGGTTTCAGTTCAAGAAGAAGTTGTGTAAATCAACCTGATGTGTTTTGCTATACAGGGTGTTATTGAAATACACGTACATATTAAAACTGGGTATTGCGCAGATCCCCACTGAATGTAGAAAAATATTATTTTTTAAAAATACCCCTTATTAAGGGAGTTATCAATTTTTGAAAATTAATTCTAAAACAAATGTACTTCACTGATATGTTGAGGATGACCTATATAAATTAGGTTTATTTACCTATTTTAAACATCAACAGTAATTAATATGCAAGTTTTTGTCAGATGATAAGAAAACTAGTCTTGTAAGAAATAACCATGTTGCCAAGATTTTCGAATTAATTTCTATTTCCGAAGACTGGTTTTTACTACCCTCGTTATCAAAAAACTAGAATATTTGATAAATGATTGTTTTTAAACTATACATTTTTGAAACTATAGATTATTAAAATTTTAGTTGATTTACGAATCTGGCTAACACGAGCGCGTCATTTCCAAGTTGGTAAAAAGTGTTGTTACGATTACTTTTAAATATTTTTTTACGATGCCACTATTTACGAATATTGAACTAACGGATATAGTGCTGGTTTATGGGGCAGCTGGAGAAAATTCTCGGCAAGCACAAATCCTGTATCGCGAACGGTTTCCAAATCGGAGAATTCCGGACTGTCGTACGTTTATTTCAACTGTTCAGCATCTAAGAGACCATGGAAAATTTGAGAGTGTCAATGCAGATCGAGGGAGAACAAGAACACAAAAAACATTGGCGGCCGAAGAAGAAATATTGGAAGCTGTTGAAAACCGGCCTCAATTAAGTTGTAGAAGACTAGGTCTTGAAATTGGAGTGTCCTCATTTGTTGTGTGGCGGACACTTAAAGAACAAGGTTTACATCCTTATCACATCCAAAAAGTCCAGGCCTTATATCCAGGTGATGAAGAAAAGAGAGTGGAGTTTTGTGAATGGATGATTCAAAAATGTGTTGATATTCCTGATTTTCTAAAAATATTATTGTATACTGACGAGGCTTCATTCACTCGTGATGGCGTGTTCAATATGCACAATACGCATATTTGGAGTGATGAAAATCCTCACGCCATTATGGAAACTGGGCATCAAAGAAAATTTTCAATAAATGTTTGGGCTGGCATAATAGATCAGTATTTAATCGGGCCTTATGTTCTCCCGAACAGATTAAATGGGCCAGGATATCTCCACTTTTTAGAAGATATTTTGCCAGTACTCCTAGAAGAGATACCGTTACAATTAAGGCAACGGATGTGGTACCTACTAGATGGCGCTCCTCCTCACTTTGATTTAAACGTACGGCATTTTTTGAACATTAGATTTCCTCAAAAGTGGATAGGCAGAA